AAAATAATAATAATAAATAATTCCGTCAATGAGCACTAGCCAAGAGATGTGTAACGCAATAAACACCACCGCCAACACGGGGTGAAACAACAACAAAAAAAGAAGAAGTAAATTTGTAGGGTGAGCGGATAAAACACACAACTGAGATGACGCCTCCAAACTCACATGAAACAAATAAAACTTTATTTCATTTACTGTAAACAAATGAAATCTTTTTTTCCTTTTTTCACCTTCATCCATTTGTTTTATTATTTATTTATTTAATTTTTTACCCCCCACCCACCCGCATACCTGCCTGTGTGTGTGTGTGTGTGTTTGCGTAACTGCCATGCACATTGTAAAATTCTCACTGACTCACTGTTTTGTTTTTTTTTGTTGTTGTTGGTTTTTTTTTAATGCTATATATATATATATATATATATATGCCACTATACATACATATATTACTCCCCTTTCCCTTTCCCTTTCCCTCTCTCTCTCTCTACATACATGCATGTATATTTACGCAAAAGTGGGATGCAGAAGGATGTTGAAAAATGTCAAATTTGCCTCTGTCCTGAAAAAAATAATAACACAAGTAATAAATAGAAAATAAATAGTAAAAATAAGATTCATGCACATCGCCCTACAAGAGAAAAAAAGAAAAAAAACAATGCCATCACCGTCATCATAAACAACAATAAAATGGGCGTTCATCGGAAAATAATAATCATAATAATAAACAAAACTATGAGAATTTGGAAAATTTTTGTAGCAATTCCTCCCGTACCTCAGCCAACATTTTATTCGCATCCGCCAACAGTTGTTCCTGCTCCTGCACGTATCGCTCAAGGCGGTTGCGTCTTTCAGGGTTCTCTTCCACCTTGAGACGCTCCAACGCCTCTTTGTTCGCTGACTCCACGTACCTCACAAACCGCGTCACCGACCCACTGCGAAGTGGATAATTGGAAGAGGCATGCATTTTGCCTTGCAATTCAATAAGTCTCTCAACTCTCTCTCGGTTTGCGCCATCTCTCTCCTCTACCATGGAAAGATTCAGCATGAAGCATGTGTGACACGGGCCGCCCAACACAAGGTGAAACAGCATACTGTGCTCATTCTTCAGACGCGCAAGGGCCGATTCAAATGGCACCGAATCGCTCCCAGCAGATGCCACCACAAGTGACGAAAGTGACACATCACATGTCCTTTCACCAGCCTCGTTTTTGACGATACGACATTGCCTAGAGAGCAGAAAGGCAATCGCCACACCATCTCTCGTTGTAAGTATAGGATCGGCATTGGCGCGACGGAGTGCACTGCTCATCACTTCCTCAAATGCCGAATCGGAGGTAATTTTTCCGTAGTGAAGGTGTGGAATACGAGGACCATAGATGGGGGAAGGGTGCACCACCAGCGGCTCAAAGGAGCTGCCATTACCATCAAAAAGATCTCGCACCTTATCCTTATAAACAAAACCAAAAGCCGCCGTGAGCTCCGCCGTGCCCTCACGCATGATTCGATTATTCCTCAACACTCCACTCACAATGCGTATAAGACCGGACCAGACCGGGGAGTTAAACACGGTTCCCGTATTTGGTGCCTCTACGGATAAAATGGCGGCGTTGTGACTATCACATACGGCGTCCCTGACATCATTAAAGAGATTTGAGCGATATGACATACTGTTTAAATCGCGAATGACAACTTCAGTGGCTTCGTGTCTTTTCCAATGATATATAAATGTATTTCCTTCTGCTGAAATATAATTAGGCCCTTGAGAACCCCTCTCCAAAAGCACAAGCGTCTTGATAGGATTGGCCTTCCTCTGTTCCTTTGAATCATTTTGTTGTCCTTCCTGTTGAACTTCTCCTTTTTGTTTCCGTTTTTCTGATTCATGTGAAGTTGACCGCGGTGGTTCTTCATCTTGTCCCTTTTCATTTCCCCCGTGCTCTCGTCCTGGACGTCCATCACTGCCACGGCGGTCCTGGCCTGCCGCCCTTGTGGAAAGACGTTGCACGGAGTGTTCTCGCGATAACGGCAGCGTGTCCGCCATGGTGTCCTTCATCGTCCCCACCACCAACTCCGGTGGCTGCTCCGGAATGGCACGCAAGAGGGACCCACGACGCGATGTCGGGCGTGAACGGCCGCTGGCACGCCCCACCAACTTTGTTTTGGGCTCCGGACTCTCCGCGGACTCGGTGTTTCCAACGAGTTGTCTGATACGCTCCTCCTCCCGCTGCTCCTCCCGCCTTTTTTCCTCCTCAAAGCGTTTTCGCTCATCCGACTTCCGGCGCAACCGCTCCTCCTCGTTTTTCTTCCGTTCTTCCTCATCAAGACGTTTCTGCTCCTCTTGCCGTGTTTCCTTAGCCTTTTTGGGCATCAACTGGGGACGCACCGGCTCTTCGGCGACCCTCGACCTCTCCCGCTGTTCCCTGTGCTCGCCTTGTTTGGGCTCCTCAATAGCAGTGAATTGACTGCGCCGGAAAGCATTTAGCTGAGGCTGCGACCCAGACATGCGCCTGTGCGGGACAATATCCAAAGCAAGGCCGTCTTGCAGCTCATCGGCCTCCGGGAACACCGCAATCGAGACGTTGACCGCACTGGCACTGCGCGCCGCACTCATAGATGGGCGACGCCGCATAGAACCACGGATCGAACGCGATCGTGGCTTCACCCTCTGTTCATCGTGCGACCCCAACTTATCCCCACCGAGACTCCGATCGGGGCCAGGCAATGCACTGGAGTCTAATTGATTGGAGGTCTCGGTTCCACCAAATGTACTTCCAACACACGGTGGATTGTGTGAAGTCGCGCCAATCGAACGGGAAAGAGGAATAGATTGTGGGACATCTTTCTCCAGTTGCTCCTTCTCCTTCTCCTTCTTCTTTTCTTCTTTTTCTTTTTCTTTTTCTTTTTCCTTTTCTTCCTGTTCGCCACTCGTATCTCCCCTAACATCATCATTCATCCGAGAATCTTTGACGCTATGTTTTTGAGGGGCTCTTCTTATATTCAGGCCAGTGGATATGGATGAGTGACCCCATGTATCCTTCGCCTTCTCTTCCTGACCGTGTTCCTCGTCCTTTGAAGCAAAGGGCTTCGTTGAACTTTGATCACCAAAATCAGTATCATTTGGATAACCGCCGTAACCCACTGGACTCAGCGGTCGCCTCGGTTGTATGTCTTCGTTGAACTCCTTGGGGACTATGTTTGGCTCACGACTCTTGATAACTTCCGGCTCCTTGGAAATGCCACTGCTGTCGACTGGGAAAAATTGTCGTTTTTCACGCGCAAAATTTGCGCCGCCGTTGCCCACCGACCCATAGCTGCCCAAGCGGATGCTGAACTGAGATGGGTAACGATTAAAGTTGCCTTGTGACATTAGGTCGGTTCGGTCACGTCGACTGGCAAATATTTTGTACACCACCGGTGGAGGCTCGTCCACAAAATACATCGAACCTCCAGCGATGGCGCCGTCAAAACCACCCATGCTGTTCATCCCGTAACTCCCAAAAACCTCGTTTTCCGCCAAATTGTCTTGCTGTTCGTTCCCACTGTTCTTCCCTGAAAGCCCACACGTAGAAATATCGTAGGTACCACCGCTCCGGAAACCACCGTGGCTGTTCTGTACGTCACGATTTCTTCCAGAAAAAAGCTTTGTGCTCTGATCTTTATAATAAGGGTCAACACCAATATTCCCGCCATAGCAATTTGGGCCCTGTGTGTATTGCCCCCCATATGACTGCTGGGGCATTTGCATGTATGGTTGTGGTGTCCCACCCGCAGGCGAGAACCAATGAGTACCGTAGGCTTCCTGCATGCGGAGTAAAACTTTCCCTTTCACGGAGTCGTCACAACACTTCGGCCCTTCCTGCTTTCTCCAATTGGGTGTACACTTGGCTCTTTTCTCCCTCTTCACACACACACACACACACAAAGACAGACAGACAAAAAAACAACATTAAAATAATTATTATAAATAAATAAAAGAGAATGGGAGGGAGCCACAGGCATCCCCCGCGAGAGAAGAACAAGCACGCACACGTGTACACACATGTGAAAAGAGAAAGAACCATAATAATAATAACAATAATAATAGCAATAAAGCGAAAAAAGTCACCACAACGCCCTCCAGAACACATATGAACAATAACGTCATGATTTCATCAAAAAAAAAAAAAAAAAAAAGGAACGTCATAAGCAACTAGAAAACAAAACAAAACAAAACAAAAAAGAAAACAAAAGAAAAAAGAGATGGGAAAAAAAAAAAAACAGAAAAATAATGAAGACTGTAAGGCTATTACGGATAAATACGCAACAAAATAGAAAAACAACAAAGGAAAGAAAAGGAAAGAAAAGGAAAATAAAAGAAAAAAAAAAACTGGCAGCTCAGCACACGTCGTCACTGGCAATGCAATATAGATATATATATACTTGCATAGCACGCAGCAATGAGGTTTTACTCCCGTACCGTACCGTACCACACACCCTCCACTCCACAGGCACATACGCAAGAATCAAAAACCAGACAATAATGGAGAGAATTACAAGAAAGACAGCATCGCATGTTCACATAAAAAAAAAAAAAAAAAGAAAAAAACAGCAAAAACAATAATAAAAATAAGAAAGCAATTTATTAGCACATGTTTTCATTGCAATCATTACCCAGCCGTGTGTGTCCATACATATATATATATATATGGACACATAAATCAAATACACGCTCGTTTCCAGTCAATTTCAACTCTCTTGAAGGATTTTCCTCTCGTACGGGCGTAATTTACCCAACAATGCATTCATTATGTATACATATGTATATATAATGAATGCTACACATGTCGCCATTTATACTTTTCCTCCTTCTCTTCTTCATGTCGGAATGATTCATGTAAAAAGGACATGCAACTGTCCTTTTTCAATAGTCTCATCCAAAGAATTCACAATTGCTCAAGTCATTTTATGTCGCGAGAGCCAATGCTTCACGTCCATAAGTAACTTTTACAACCAAAATCCCTCAGCCACCCGCGTGTCCTGCAATCATGACACGTACACGCCAATGGTATATGGCAAGAAATATATATATTCTCATCCAATATTGCCCGTGACTCATCGCTTGATAAATTTATTTATTTATTTATTTAAAGGGGAATTGTTAACTGCAACGTCGATTCCACGGTATAAATACGCCGCAGATGGCAATACAATAAAATCCCCCATTAGACATTTACAAATTATAAAGAAAAAGACAATATAAATATAAAATATATATATTCTATCTCGTCCCGTCCTCAATTTTCCTGTGATGCCTCCTTCCCCTCCTTCACACGTCTCGTAAAACAAAGACGAAGGAGTTCTTATCGCAAATATGACGTTGTTTCAATCCTGCAATCGGTAACGCTACAAGGCGTAGAAAAAACAAACGGAAAGAGTCTTAGATATAATAGGCACCTCTTCACATATCACCGATGTGGAGCATCCCAAAAGTAAAAAAAAAAAAAGAAAAGAAAAGAAAAAAACTCTTTCAATTACTCCCATTCGCCCCATTAAATAGAAAGGGAGCTATTCTTAGGCGTGGCACGTTCATCGGGGACAAGCATGACGTCTGGGCTACAGACAAATTGGACAACACTACCACGTGGTGGAGTTTCCGCTAATTTTTTATGAAAACTAGACCTGCATCCATGTGAAGATGGAAGTGGCACAACAACGGTACATATGCGGTTCTCGTCATTTGATTCCATGGATGCGTTTGGATCAAACTCTGTGGATAATTTGTCCCGAGATTCTTCTGAAGTTGACACGAAGGATACGGCCCGCCTAAACAATTGCCTCTGCACTTCCTCCACTTCATCATCATCCTCAAATTCAATCGTCATGGACGCTGAAAATCGACGATGGCGAGCAAAAAAGCCTTCTTCTTTCCCTAGTAGCTTGTTAAGGCTGCTTGTTTTACTAAGAATACTTTGAGGATGCCCATTGGATGAAATAATAGACGAATAAAGACTCTCTGGGGGTTTTCCTACAAAAAAGACTTGGCGCTTCATCGACTTACCAGGTAATTCCTGCATGGGCCCTTCCTGCTCTCTACACCGGCCTTCATATACATCCATCAGAGTCCCTACCGAAGGACGATGGGTATCGGGCACGCATCCTCCGCCACCGCCGTCAGGATTTCCATCTCCACATGCGACCTGAGGAACCAACTTGTTTTCTTTACTGCCCGGAAGCTGGAAGGATTGCATCGGAAAATCTTGAGCATGCTTTTCCTTAGTATGGGATAAGAAAGGATTCTCTTCGCCAAAATGGGGTTTATTCCTATCGCACCGAAGAACCTTCTTCTCTACTCCCTCTTCTGTGAAACATAAAGCACCACCTTCCACCCGCCGTAATTTTTTCAGTTTTAAAAGTTTTTGAATTAACGGAAATTTCTTTGGATTGACCGAATATGAAGACCCCATCCTTTTGCTTTTTTGTTGTTGTTGTTGTTTGCTACTTCCTTGTGGTTTATTATCCCCTAAAGAAAAGCCAACAAACCAACACCTTCTTTCAGGAAGACTGTCTCTATCCCCGCCTTCCACACACAGAAAGACAGGTATCTTCCTTAAGGTCTATCAAAAGAAAAGAAAAGGAAAAAACACAAAATTTACGGGTATCCAACTGGCCTCACCCCACAAATGTTGGGCCCTTCCCACCTGCAGCCCAGCCTTGGAAAACACCACACCACAAATTGCACACATTCCCCCTCCTCCACCGCGGCAAGACACGTATAACCTCGCCTACAGTGGGAAATATCACCTCGAGTACTCACAACAATCACCAGAAATTTTCTTTCTTGTCTCCTTCACCACTTGCCCGCAATTCCCACCTCAACACACACACACAAAAATATATATATATATGGGAGCCAAAGGTGAGACATGCAGCGACTAAAAAAAAAAAAAAAAAAAGGGGGGGGGGGGGGAAATAATCCCGTGTGGTTAAAATAATAATAAAAAGAAAAGGAAAAAAAACACCCCTTCTCTTTCTCTCTTTCTCTCTCTCTCTCTCTGTCTGTCTGTCTGTCTGTCTCAAAGTAACAACCCCCCTTTTAAAAAAACACGCACAAAACAAAAACAACAAACACAACTAATGGCGTGATATGCAAAGCAATGTGCCGGCCGACACGTCACACACTACAAGACAAATAAATAAAAAATAAAAAAATAAAATAAAATGAAATTTGATTCTCTCTTCTTCGTGTTTTTTTTTTTTCATCGTTTTCTTTACGCGGGGTCTCCTCATTGGCCAGAAGACAGAAACACACATTTATCACAGACACAAGAAATGCACCTTAGAAATAATACAAATGATACAGAAAATAACAAAGAAAAACAAAAAGAAACTGAAAATGAAAGTGAAGATGCGTGTCCCCATGGCGGTAAAAAAAAAAAAAAAAAAAAAAGAGAGAGAAAGAAAGAAAGAAAGAGAGAGTCTAGTCTTAAAATAAAAAACTTTAATACCCTTCTCCCAATTTATTTCGGGGAAGTGAAATGAAGTATTCAATGATAATAATAACACGGTAAGCCTATTGGGGTTTCGTAATAAAGGACGAGGCCCATAAAAAAATCTTTTTTTTTTTTGAAAATACTTAACAGTAAAACCATGCATCGCCAAGAATATATATATATATATATAACTCAACCACACATATGTATATTACTCGCTCCATCGTCATACCAATGAGGAAATAAAATAAGGCGCACACACATACGTAAACACATGTGAGAAAGAGAATGAGAAGGTGGGGGGAAAAATCCCCAGACACACACACACACACACTACACAGATACATATGCACATATAAAAATTCCCTCGCTCTCCCTCAAAAAGATCTATCCAGTCTCCAAAAGTGCATTGCTAAAATCAGCTAAGAGTCACTCCACCTATCTCTTTCCCTTTTCTTTTCTTTTTTTTTTTTTTCCTCCTCCCTCCCTCCGTTTCTTTCTCTCCCATTGCTTTTGCCGGTGTGTGAGAGAGGAAGAGAAAAATAAATAAACAAATAAATTGTGTTTGTATGTCTGCTAAAGGAAAAACAACTTTCAAGAAACAAATGACTGTTCCACCCATAGTAACTAAGCCAAGGCGTCACAGGTCACATTCCTCAAGCAGTTTTCTCAAAACTTCCCCTGGCGTCTCAATGATGTTGGGTCACCTCCACATTAAGATCCTGAATCGCCCCCCCTCTCCTACTTATTGCTGCGGCCCTGTCAAAGAGATGGTAGGAGGGTGTTCTCGTCACTCGCCTCATGTGGGGATAAAAATGGATTGGGGCGAGCGGTCTTCTTCGCGACCCCGTTCAAAGTCCCCCTCCGCCTCCGTTGCTTGACGCCATCCTTTTCAAGGAAATCGGCCTCCGAAGAGAAGATAATTGACGTAGAAGGGTGCTCTGTCCTCACCCGAATGCATTTCGTCGGCGCCAAATCCGCGTTGTGCAGCAGCCACTCCGTATCGCTCAGAACTTCCTCAAGCGTCTCAATGTCATCATTGCTGATAGAAGTATTCGACTTCCCCAAATCCCCAATCCGTTGCAGCAATTTCTCAGCCTTCAGGTAACAAAGCCCAAGGTCACACACAAATGGTCTGCTGTTCATTACCCGCTGGAGCATCAGGGCGTAGTCAAAGTAATCGCTAGTCAAGCCGTTGCTAGTACTCTGTCCCACACACGTCACATGCGTCGTCAAGGCGGCGCCACCCAATGCGTCTGAAAAAAATACACGCAACGGCGATGCCCTTGCTTGACCAATGGAACAGAAAAACCTTGGATCCCTCGTTAATGCAAAGGTAAAGTTTGCAAGAACCAACTTTGGGATATTGATCTCGGAATCCATATGAAGTGCACGCTCACGTACCAGAATGGTTCCCACAACCATATTTTCCGGGTGGCGGCGTAGACGACGACGCATCCTACTCGCAATGTCCGCCAAGCACTCCTTCGACGGCACCTCCCGCCATGTCAGATCCATGAGAAGGGGTCCACAAAGGGCTATAAACCCATTTCTAATGGGCACGACATTACCCTCCTCGTCTTCAGGGTAGAGCATGTCGACTGCAGAGTGGGGGGTCGTTATTGCCGCCAAAGAAATCCAAATCTTGCATTCTGTTCGATCAACCACCTCACCTTCTCGGTAGCGCTGTATCAACTTTTTGAGAAAGTCGCGGGTAAGTCTGACAGAAGTCGAAAGAAAACCAGGGGCATAAGTAGACAAAAGAAATGATCGTTGACCACAATGAACACAGTTTAAAAGAGATGTCAGTGTCTGCGATCGCCCCACTTCGGTGGAACAAATCACCTCATCCATGTCATAACTAGACTTCAGCTGCAATATACGACCATTTCGAAGCTCTTCATGTTCAATGACGGAAACGGCACCCGTTCCGGTCTGAGAAATAATTGACGGCGGCACATCTGAACATGATTCATCCCCTCCTAAAGAACTAATGAAGGCTACAGCCTTGACGCGCTGGAAATTGACATTTTGACGCTTCCCCTCAATGTGGTAACGAGACAACCTTTCCTTTGAAAAGTCCGTTTTTGAAAGTTTTTTCCCCTCATGAGCCTGAAGGATTGGCGGTAATTCCTCATCTGAAGGTGGATCAGCTGACATAAAATCCATGAGTGACGTGAAGTAATAAGGCGGCAGTCCAAATTCCGAGTCGCTACCATCTGGTTGCAATGGAGCAGCGGCAATGTTGCATTGCTCCAGCAGACTTCTAGGCATCTCTGGAAGACTGCGGTTAACAATGTCCAAACTTCCAAGGCTGTTTCCCCGCGCATTTCTTTTTCCTTCCCCTAAAACTGCCGTCTTATTCCCTGTCATCTCCTCCCCAACCTGGCTCCGAAAAGACGAGGCAGATGACTTTGCCGCGACAACACTGGGTTCCTTCTTCTGATGAGCCCATGCCGAGTGGTCCCCCGTACTTTTTCGCATGGGGCCGTCAGACGCAGCCGGCTCAAGATTCCCACCACATATTTTGTCCAAAAACCCGCCCTCCCCTAACATGATGTATTCATCTGGCTCCGGCTCTTCGCTATTCCCAGAATCCGGATCAAAAAGCGAAAGGCTACTCCAATTCGGTGGACTCGCAGAAGAAAAAGACACCCACAGCTCGCTTGAAGCTCCTGTTCCCTCCCTTGACAAACACAAAGACCGTATTTCCTCCCTCCTTATTGACCCCTTCTTGGAGTCAGGTGTTGGCTGTACCATCAAAACTGGGGTCGAACACAGGCTGGGGTTGTAGACAATCCTTGACTTTGATGCGCACTGCTCCTCTCGAGCCTCATCAAACAGATCTTCCTGCTTGTCTAAAAAATTAAAACAAAAGTCCCCCAACCGCATAGTCAGGACCATCTGCGATTCATTTGCACGTCCCTGACCATCGTTCAATGCCTGGTCTGACTCACCGTGTGCGCCGCAGTCTCCGTCAACCTCCCCGCGCATTACAACTAACTAAAAAAAAGGAAATGTGTAGAAAAAGAAGAAAAAAAATTGTACGGGATTATCATGCACGATGCCAGTTTCACAAATACGCGTGTGGGGGAGCCAAATGCACACACACACACACACATACACATACACAGGCAGAGAGAACCCAGCACGGTGGTCCCATTGGGATTTATCCTCCTTCTGTCGCCCAGCCTGGAAAATACTCAAGCAGGAGCCTCTCACGGTCCTCCAGCCCTCATCCGTGTCGACGAGAAACGCACTTCTGTCATCCCCTTCTCCGTGAACGCGTCTCATGCTTTCTGAACAGCGCCATTCATCCCTACCCCTTTGTTGTTGCACACAAAAGCAGAAAGAAGAGAATCAGTTAGGGAGTTTGTTGGCGGTGGTGGGAGGAATCATGTGCCCTGCGCCCGGCACCGTGTCAGCCATCTTGTGGGAAATGTGTAAAACCAAAATATCCAACAAACAAAAAAAAAGACAATGTGGGGGCTCTGACGTGCCATTTCCTCTTTTCCCCGCCTCCACCTACCCACCCACTGCTGGGAAAACAGAGAGAGAGAGAGAGAGAAAGAGAAAGATACGCAAATGCCGTCATTTCTTTCAGATGCATCCAACCACACACATTCACAGACAAATATATTTTTTTCTTTCCCCTTCCCCCACATCCCAAATAGGGGGGGGAAAAAAAAAAGAAGAAGAAGGAAATAAAGGCAAAAAGGGGGAAAACAACTTATACGCATATACGCATATACGCATATACATATATAAATATATATAAACACAGGCTTTTTGCATACCAATATAAATATAAATATAAATATTCACAAAATTTGTAAAAAAGATTCTGCGTGGAAAAAGAGATGGAGAAGGGGGGGGGGGGTGAGAAAAATGAACGCGAGAGAGAAATTATCCTCCTTCTTCAGTCAATAAAAAACAATATATACATGTATACCACTTCTCTTTCCCTTTTTTCATCTACATCTGGATTGAAGGGGTAAAACAAAATAAAATAATCCCCTCCATTCTCCCTCCTCATACAGAAATAACAATAAACATGAATACACTCAAAACGTTTTTCTCTTTTCTTTTCTTCCTTCTCTCCCCCCCAGCCAACAGTCCCTAAAACACTTTTTTTTTCTTTTTATTTATTTATTTATTTATTTATTTCAATTTATTCAAATCCGCATCAATTTTTCGCCTACATGCACACACACACACACAGGGCAATGGCGCAGCATCACCACACGCCAAGAACAACTGCAAGAAAGGGAAATGAAAACAAAAATAATAAATAATAAATAATAAATAAATAAATAAATAAATAAATAAATAAAAAAGGAGAAAAACAAAGACGATGCATAAATAAATAAACAGAAGTTTTTTTTTTTTTTTTTTTTTTTTTTTTTCTTTAACCGGGAGGGGGAAAAAATAGGCACACAATGACATGTAAATCAACCACCAAAAGCAACAAAAACAACAACCAGAAGAAGAAATAAAAAATAAAAAATAAAAAATAAAAAATAAATATAT